AAAATATAAAGAATACCACATCTGCAAAATCAAGTAAATTATACTTTTAATGAGATCAACTGAATATTATCACTATAATTATGTAATTTTCGCCCATTACCATCTCTAAGACATCCAATTCTATAAAGTGTAGGCATTTTTATAATGAAAGCGAAAATATCATCAATAAATGTATTTAAAGCTTTATAAGTGAGCATACGCCAAGGTAAATGAGCTATAGATTTCATCTTATAGTTTATGAATAACTGAGGAGTCATCATGATAAAACCTTTAAAATAAAAAAGTATAGTTTTAGAGACAAATAGTAGTTAAAAATTACGGACGGATGAATTTTCACATTAGCCTAAGAAGTCAAGACAGCTTAATTTGACCTACCAAACATTAATAAAAATCCGTAGCAAATGCCAAGGCAAAATGAATACCACCCTTTATGCTCATGATACAGCAGCGAGTAAACAGTATAACATGCAAACATCGGGAAAAGTGCCCATGACAAATATTTAAAAGCCATCTAAAATTGTTTTTAAGAACCAAAGGGCATAGTGTATGTGAATTTAAGATAAAAGTGTTAAAATACAACGGACCTTAAAAGAGACCCTAGAAGTTTACCCTATCGTATTCCTTCGTGGGTGATTCTTCATATGTTGCTCTGTCTTGGATTGAGATTCTAGGTATAGATCTAAATGGCCCATTTGACCAGTTGAGCTGCAGTCAATACAAACCGTAACTTAAGTTAATTGAGTACTAAGCAAAATCCAAGCTTCTAATATCTAATTTTGATATGAATTGCTACAGTTTAGGTAAATCTGATTCTGTACAGATTCAATCTTCACCTCAACTTTCATAACTTTCGTAATTTTCCAAGCATCAATACCTAAACCGACCAAACAACTTATGATGATCATAGTGTTGGTGTCATTATCAAGAACGTACAGTAAAACAATAACTGATTGAACAACACCAAAAAAAACGCTTCTGACAGATAAACCCTCCAAAGATTTTCTAGAATTCCAGAATTGAATATCTAAAAATCATAAGCGTATGTATAAAAAATGCATTAATATTTATATTAGTGCTATACACCAATTGCCATATTTACAGTTAAGATTTGTACTGTACACACTTTTATACTTCGTTACCGTTTTTAAAGGCCAAAAATTCAAAAACGCTGTGCAATAAACTAACGCAAATTGTTAATCCGATGAGATAAGGGTTAGTTTCAAGCAGCATTTGCTAGTAAGACGAAAGTATAAAAATACAAAAATATTAGTTGGATAGTATTTTCTAGGAGCTATAACTACATCCAGATTCAAAAAGCTCCGATTTACAATTAATAAGAAAAATAATAAATTTGCATATGGAGTTCACTTTTTTTAGATTTGAGTTTTAAGTAGTAAAAAGTTAAAAAATTAGATTATTTTCTAATAAGGGTATCAAATACTAGAATGATTGCATGTACAAAAGCGATAAACTTCTAAATAGAATTCGATATTTAATCGATTGTATTCCATATACCTTCATACTATCTTTCTCATCATCAGTTTGCTGATCTCCTCCCATTAATGCTGTCCAAGGATTTTGAGTAGTTTGTGACGCGAAAAATTGCCATTTAATTAAGGAAAGAGGGCCATATATCAGATTTAAATGTAAAGTCCTAATAGTTTGAAAGATTAATTGGTGATTACTACCAAAGCCGACGATAACATTTAAAAGTATGAACTAAACATTTTCATTACTCGACGGAAGAATTGACGGGCATGTAGTCACTATTTAAATTCCAATAATCGTTTAAAAATATCACTGGAAAGTAATGTCCTTGGCCGTCAAATTTTACGACTATGGGAGTAAAAAAATAACCAATTATCAAAGTAACAATATAATATAATGCGTCTTGCAAAATTTAGCTAGTGCAAATAACGATTTTACAGTACATTGATTTAAAGGTGCAGGAACTGATCCTTCGACCCACGAAGTATGATCGTCTAATAGATTTATAGTTAAGTTTGGATGCCAATAAGAGATAATTTCAGGTTTTTCATTTTCTGTTTTCTACAATGGCATTCGTAAATCAATAATACAAATAGGCTTGCATTTGATAATGTTGTAGTTATCAACGTATATATGATATAAAAAAACGTTGTCGACTACTTAGAAAAATCCTTATTTACTGGAAGTAAGTCGGCGTGGACTTCAGTCTTTCCTGTTATTAAGTTGGATGCTTTATGCAACCTTTTTTTGCGATATCTAGTTAACACTAAAATAATTGTGTTAGTGATAAGATCGATAAATGGGACTAAATGTAGTGTTGAGTTAAAATATTGCAGTACACTAACAATGATGTACAATTTACATACTTTTCATTTGGTGAATCACTCCCAGCGATTGATAATGTCTACTGTTTGGATCGGGAGATATTCCATGTTTGCAGATATAAACGTGCAAATAAAGAGATCCATTATTCTGTACATTCTGGATGATAACCAGGCAAAGAAGTAAATCAAGTTAGAAAATTTCAGTTGAAATCAATTGCATTTGCTGTATAAATTAGATTAGATAATAAAAAAGGAATCATTTATTATTTAATGTAGATTAGATAATAAAAAACGATTCATTTTATTATTTAATGTAGATATGTAAAAGCTCGATCCTAAATAACGCTACGGTAGGTTGGATTGAAAACCAAAGTTATTAGTTCTGGAAATCAGTAGATTTAACAATAACCATATATTATCAGCTTAAATATCTATAGAAATTGCTGCTACGATAAAGTCCACTTTTAAACGAGTATCGCACTATTTTTAGACACTGTCGTTAAACGTAGACTTGTACCTCACTGATATTGAATGAATGACTTTTACTCCTAGTTCCATCTGCATTAGGGCCATCTTCCCAACTGCCGTATCTCAATTTATTATACTTCCATACCAAGTAGCTTGAATTATCAAATTCTGTAAAGTTTTCTTTCTCCGATAGGTAAACATATAAACTCTACAAGACATGAAAAAGTTAATCGATGAAAAATAGAATTATTTCTGGGGTAAAATCCGAGTCGATAAACTTGCTCAACATTATATTAACTTATTAGGAGAGTGCGTAAGTTGGAAAGCTATAAAGAAGGCCAATGTCCAAGGGCGTAGAATAGTCATTGATACTGTACTCTATTCCGTCCATTAAAGTAAACTTTATAAAATGCCCAGTCTATTTTGTATCTACAGATCGTTCCATAACGTGCTATCGGCACAAGTAAAATCAGGGAGGTTTACAGTAGATCGATCCAGCGTACCATAGCTGTTAACAGACGCTTGATCGATCTAATCTACAGTACTGTACCATAAGGGTAGAGTGTACTGCTATGGTATTGCAAGATGAGCATGAAATAATTTTTAACTTTTATTTATCACTGGATATGCTCACTATTCGTAAGGAATACGTAATCCGTCAATCGGATTCTTGCATACATATACGCATGTTTTAAACTGTTTAGCGCATACAGTAGAATCCTATCACTAATAATAATAATAAATTACATGATTATGGAGAGTTTAGAAAACTTTTCTACCGATTAAAGTAGTAGTAAATTTGATCCAAATCTTATTGTTATTCCATATACGACGTACAGCTAAAGAATGCGTATCTCCTGATCGATTCAAAACATGTCTAGTTGTAGACTGTAAAGGAGCGTTGCAATGTCACTTGTAGTCTACTCGATATTTGAAAATTTTCTCCACGTCTGGAGCTGCATTCTTTCAATACTGGATATTATATATATATAACTTAGTATGGTGATTTCAGTCATTTATTGAAGTTTTACTCTTTATTACCTCTACCTACGCTAAAATTGTTGAGTATACGTATACCCTAATTGGTACAAATGATATACAGTACGTAATTATGTAGAAACTCATTCAAAAATGAATGCTGATCATGAGAGTAGAAAATCTCGATCTAAGTGTGACAAGTCTATTCTAGCATACGATGATCTATTGTATCCAATATTGACTTACTAATAGTTGGCCATGTGGGAAGAGATTTGTAGACGGTTTATAATTTGTTGTAGCTGGTGAAGTGGTACCATTATTCGCATTGGGTTTGGAGCCGGACTTGAAGAGATTAGAAATAAAATAGAAAATGATCATTTGCCATACTAGACGTTTCCAACTGAATCCTGCTTGGTTTTGACGCTCTTGCTGTTGGTTATTTCCTTGCTGATCGTTTGCATGAGTGGTTTCGGATTCTTGACTACCAGCTTGAGTCTCATTTTCGTTGTTTTTTGCAGATTTATTTGGCATTTCTAAATTTTCGATTGAAGATTTTGGAGAAACACTTCTTCAATCACAAAAAAGCTGTGGATAACACTGCAGTTGTCGTCAGTTTGCAAGTTAAAACTACTGTACAGCAGAGTGAAAACCTGGTCGACAACTTGATACTGTACTTCACAATGTAAAGTACTGTAGAAGATCAGACAGGGTGCTGTCCTGTACAGTACCGTACAGTAGAGTATGAATGTTATGTTGTCCTATTTCAGTAGGGTTTCGTACTACCGTAGGTACAGTACGTACACTCATAGACTACCAGAGATACCTGGTACTGTGTCCACTTGTAGAGTGGGTAAGAATTTTCTTTCTAGATAAATCAGTGCATATTTTATGGTTTATTTTCCAAAGAAAACCTGTACAACGTTATAGGTATGAAAAGAGGATGATCTGATTACCGATTTATATCAAATTGAAATAAAATCGATGCATTTTTGGCCTTTGTATTTCATTTTGAAAAATGACAGTACTGTAGACCAGCTTCACCCAAAACGATGTCACTGGTAGCGATTCACTTGCTGCTGTACGTCCGTACACATTGTATTCTACAATGTTGTATCAACTGACCGAGTGCAGTTCGAAATACTCGTGAGTGACGTTAGTGTTCTGTAGACCAGCTTCACCCAAAACGATGTCACTCGTAGCGATTCACTTGCTGCTGTACGTCCGTACACATTGTATTCTACAATGTTGTATCAACTGACCGAGTGCAGTTCGAAATACTCGTGAGTGACGTTAGTGTTCTGTAGACCAGCTTCACCCAAAACGATGTCACTGGTAGCGATTCACTTGCTGCTGTACGTCCATACACACTGTATTCTACAATGTTGTATCAACTGACCGAGTGCAGTTCGAAATACTCGTGAGTGACTTTAGTGTTCTGTAGACCAGCTTCACCCAAAACGATGTCACTCGTAGCGATTCACTTGCTGCTGTACGTCCATACGCATTGTATTCTACAATGTTGTATCAACTGACCGAGTGCAGGTCGACATACAGTACTCGTGAGTAACACTAGTGTTGACTTCGGTCTTACTCTACTGTACGTAATTGTATAGGTTTACTACTGAACAACTCATGGTTTTTGCAGCCTTCTTAGCCTAATCATACTGTACTGTACAGTGTACAGTGTACATCACTCAATGACGACTAATTCATGGCGTGGTAGGAAAAAAAAATTTAATTTCATTCTTCTACCAGTGTCTATCCCGCCACATCCAACCTTATTACCCACCTTACTTTTATGCAGCACAAAGTAACAAATTGCAAATTAGCGTAGAAAAAGCATATAGCTAGCGGTTTTTCCAGCCTTCTATGCCTAATGCCTAATGATGCTGTAGATCACTCAATGACAACTAATTCATGGCCTAGTAGGAAAATTACATTTCATTCTTCTACCAGTGTCGATCCCACCACATCCGACCTTAATACCCACCTTACTTTTATACAGCACAAAGTAACAAATTGCAAATTAGCATAGAAAAAGCACATACAGTAGCTAGCGGTTTTTGCAGCCTTCTATGCCTAATCATACTGTCCATCACTCAATGACGACTAATTCATGGCCTAGTAGGAAAATTACATTTCATTCATCTACCAGTATCGATCCCACCACATCCGACCTGGTTACCACCCTACTTTTATACAGCACAAAGTAACAAATTGCAAATTTGCATAGAAAAAGCATATACAGTAGCGTGCGGTTTTTGCAGCCTTCTATGCCTAATGCCTAATCATACATAGATCACTCAATGACAATGAATTGATGGCCTAGTAGAAAAATTCGATTTCACCCTTCTACGAGTATCCATTAGGATATTAACTGCACTGACAACTAGCTTTTACCTTTTTATGTCTATGCTTAACACTTCGACTTTTGCTCTCATATCTCCCAACACTCGAAGCCTTTACACTGTAATAACGGTTACCACTCGCTCGCTATGCTTCACTCTAAATTTCTATATATAAGTAATTAAAACACGAAAGCACCTTATGGTTTATATATGCCACGGCTAAAGCCTGAATTAACAGCAAAATCTTTTCAATTTCAAGCTTAAGCTGGCTATGCAAGAGCCTTGAAGTACAATATCCATCATATTGAACCATTTTAGTACTCTACTTAAGAGTTTAAATACCACTATAAATAAATAAAATTCATTACACCCGATCATAATGGAGTCACTGTCATCTGGTGAATTGAGCACTCAGAGCTGACATAAGGCGTCAATTACTTTCTCTATTTTATTCCTCAAGTAGTCACTTTAGCCATAATATCATTTATTTCCATTCTGTGTCATTCTCTGTTAGTCTACGGAATAATTCATACGATCAAACTGCTATTGTGAGTATTAGCTTAAAAAAAAAAGAAACAATCCAAGTACTATAAAAAAAGATGTCATCATACCCACGAGTAATAACGATCATTATATTAGAAATTACTAATTTTATCTGCAGTAAAATTTTATAATGCACATATATATAAACGCATAATAGTAGATGATTCAATCGATCCATTGATAAAGCACCTTATAAATTTAGAACAAATAAAACCGTCTAGTATCATGTTGATCCATTCTCCTTGTATCACGAATATAATCCAAAATGTAGTAAAATGGAATTATGCTCAAATAGAATTGACCTAGTATAGGGTAATAATATTAAATGAATTTAACAATTCATAAATTGCTAAATTACATTAGTGTCAAAGCTAGATAAATTTTCGGGCTAGTTAAACCTATGCAGTGTAATATTAACTTACGATATAAAACAAGAGCTGTAACGGTCAAAGACAATTAAGCTCAATTGCAATTGATCTAACCTAGGCTAACAATGCTTGATAAATTAGCAATTCGTAAACTGCTAAATTACATCTCAATAAAAACCGGATTCATTCTCTATTTGCTATACGTAAAATGCAGCAAGTCTGCACGCTATCAAATGAAGAATCCAACATAAAATAGTGAATAAAATACAGTCATAGCTTATTTCATCTTGAAAATTTCTCTGGATCTATTAACCACACAGAGGTTATTTCTGCGTATTTTCTGTTGCAAAAATACAGAACGATTAGGTGTCACGATTAGTCGAGTTTTCAATAGTATCTGTGCCAATTTTTGAAGCCAAATAGAAAAAGGGTAATTTTCATCTCTGTATGCTTACATATGTTGCACATTAAGGTAATCAACAAACCTTACGACAATATTCGCGATATCTTCGGTAGAATGGAGTTCTTTGTATTTTATTCTGATTACAGGGAGAACACGCGACATTTCTGTTATGAATTCTTCATAACCTTTTTGTAGACATTTTAGATATTCGATAGTAATTCCCGATTCTCCTTTACAGCCGCGTTTATCAATTCGTGCCTTACATTCTTCAGGCGTCACATCGAGATAGACGATTAAATTTGGTCTCTTTCTAGATAGATCAATTACGGTTGCTGTATTAAGTAATATATTGACCGTTGACATGCATGAATCATATTAGCATCTAATGCCCTTCAAATATCATAGGCGGATAACTTGACTTACAAAAAGTTGGATAAATTGTTAAAAAGTGATGTGTAAGTATTATATTCTCTTTCTTCCATTAGCCCAGTGTCTTTTAACACCTGTAATTATTATTGATAAAAATCGATCCGTACATTAGTGATAGAATATATGAATGTGAGCATGGAATAGCTAGGAAATTTATTTATTTAGTACCGAGTTAAGAAATAACTTCAAGCAATCTTAATATATTAGTCTGATATTACCTTAGCATACACAAGATCTTAATATATTAGTCTGATATTACCTTAGCATACACAAGATCTTCGTAGATAGATCTATCTTGAATTCCACCTCGACCTTGCCAAACTATTTGTTGTTGTTGCTGGAAATGAGCATTTAATAAATTAACCTACAAAATTGGAATAAAAGGGTAAGTACGTTTCTCCTTTAAAAGTGGCATAAGTCGTAGTGCCATTGGCAGTACTCTCACAGTACACAAATCCTAACTAGTTCCATAAACTATATGACGCTAAAACTAGCAATAAATAATTAGAATTAGAAGACTACATTGTAGTTTACACTATCCAACATATCATCAAGGCACATGAACCTTCTTAGTGTATACGACGTATATTCCATTTTACGAGTATACGTACATCGTATAGTATGTGATATGCATCTTTAATAATTATATGTATATCATTATAATCCATCAGATCATGAAATATCCGTGCCTAAAGGCGATATCTACAATTGCATTACGTTGAGGATTGATTGATTGATAATCATAAGTGATACTTTGTCTAGATATACGTAGATCGTTAAGTTTCTACATAAAACTTTATTTATAAAATACACACTAAGTGTACACGTACAAATTATATACAGAAATAGAGCAAGAAATAAACTACTGGAGGCAAACACGTATAATTATGCAGTAATTCATATACCAATCGGCGTATACACCTACAGTACTATACATTAAATAAATTATAATTAGGAGTAATAGAGTATAACGGACGATTAAACCAATTTCATAACTGTACCTGAACAGCAAAACCATGACGCCTCGGATTACGGTAGAAATCGCGCAAATAGTTGTTATCCAGTACAGGTTCATGAAAGGAAGGTACACAAAGTGATTTTGAAAGAGCTTTGGTGACAGAGGTCTTACCAGAAGCTGTAATAAATTAGTTTCTTCAACCATTTGTATCAACATTAAAATGGCAATAATAAAGGGTCAGGGACTAGGCGCCTGAATTTTAAATAGTTTACCTGTTATGCCAGCAACGGAAATGAAAATATTATGAGTATCACGAGATTGATCGAATGCAGAACACTTTCCTGGCCAAGTTTTAACATTATGGTACTGTCTATTGTCACAATAATCGCGATCTTGATTTTCTTCCATGATGGAATCTCAATGCCTTGTCTACTCTATGGAAACGAAGCAAGCCTGCCAATACTGGCTACAACCACATTATATCCTTAAAATTGCCTACATGTACTTAAATGAACATAATAAACTTAGCTAGGTAGTCTACTACTAGATTTAATTGTAAGGAAATCAAGAATAAGCGTCTTCTAATCTTCCCTAGATTAATTCATTTATTTAACCTAAATGATCAGACGACTACTGCAGTAATTCTAGATTTAGAATTTGCACCTATCACTAGTATGCTATAGCTACGGAGACCATGGTACAGTTCTATACAGACTGTACCAGTACACTAGCTACAGTACTATACGCTATACTAAAGTAACATTCCTAGAAAGTGTACAGTATAGAGTGTATAATGTGTATCATCAGTACTCAACTTCAGTAGCTCCAGTTGCAGCAAATCCGAAACCGCTAGAGCAATCCACGACTGGAAGCAAATATATCAGTCATTTAGTTAGTTTTTTAAGATAAAATAAATGAACTGCCTTCAACTTGGTGTATAGATTGCATGGCTGCAAAAAAATTAATAACGCAAGTAAGATTCTTTTCCTGTGTGAATTTTTACCATTCGACGATACACTATTTAAATGTACGTGCACGTCCAATTTGAAATATTGCCATAATATATTGTGCGTATGCATACGAGTAAAGAGAGGATGATTTGGAGGAAGAGGCATTTTTAATTGTACTTTCATCATGATAAAGGATACTGATAAATAGAGAGATACCAAGATGAACTATCATATCGACGTTGACTACTCGTATTGTACACGATATGATATGCCAATTGCCTATTTACAATTCTAAATAAAAAAACCTACTGTGCTTTGCAAAATTAGCTCGTTGAGCTTTGCAACAACGAAAGAGCCACAGTACATCGATAACTATTTCCCTTATATTGTGCTATATTAACTGCAGGTCTGATTAATTTATAATTGGATAGTTGCATCATCATCTGCCTACTACCACCTATGCAATACAGTAGAGTATACTGCTCTATTCTGTGCAGGCCCTGTGTACTTAGGATACCATGATATCATCGCACTATACGTATATTATTTCGCGTATTATTACTCACACGGTCTAGATTCTGGATAAACTTGGTCAACTCACTATTAATAAGAAAAATAATAATATACATTTTGCTAGCTGCATGGAGCATGCATTATACACGCACAAAAAGCGACAACTGAAATCGCATACGTATACTGTAATGATAATTCGTATACCTTCATGTTGTTATAGAGCATTGTAGTTTCTGTTTTCTGCTTCCTTTCTAGAGTTCAGTAGTTATACAATATGTTGTACAACATAGAACACGCAATATATTATAGTACCGTACAAATACTGTATGATCTACAGTTGCATACTGCCGATTAGTGATGGCTTTACGATGTAGTATCTAACGATGCCTAATACATGTATGGACTTATTTTAGCTCAACTTACTCTAAATGCTATTACTTTATGTCCAACGGATCTCATTCTACAATCGGTAGTACTGAATTATATTAAAGAGCAAAGTTACTTATTGGTATTAATAAATAAATAATTAATAAATACATAAATTAATATTTATAAATATTGCTTAAAGATCTAATTCATTTGCTCATATTGGAAACCATACATTTGACTTATGAGTTGCTGTATGTTTTTGCAGTAAGTGCATTGATAACAGTTCTTATCCATAATTGTTATCCTTAGCTACGTTTATTTGAACCTACCAATTCTGCTGGACCAATTGTCAATGTACTCCGGCGAGCTTCCTGTTGCGCAAGATGCATTCTACGTTTTTTAGGCGAGAAAAACATTGATGTTTACCAACAACCTCGTTGCGTAAGTTATCGATGATTTGTGTGAAGGTCTTATTGTATATGAGGCCTATAAATTATCATTAACTTAGAGTATTTCTCTATAATGATAACAATGCTAAGCCATCAAAGCTAACTAAAATTTTAAAGTGCCTTATTCATTAGTCTACTTCCTAAATGTTTATTAGATTGCAAATGATTTCCTGCGAAGTAAATAAATTTTTTATATTCACGACACAAAACGAAAATCTTTAACTTAAATTGTATAGTTGCCACTCAATCTTACAAATCTTTTCTTATTAGGTTTTAAACGATACCATACAGTCCCTTGGTGAATTTACTAGTAGCGATTTAATAGCTTATCAAAGTAATGCAAGTAATGAGCAACAGTCGAATTCTTTAATCGAAAATTCCGAACAAAAACAGAACGATATCAAAGAAATACCATGCGCTACATGTTTAGGTGTTTTACAAGATTATTGCGATAAAAGTTTCGTCGAGAAGGTATGGTATCTGCATACTTGATAGAAATTTACTTTATTCTAAGGAGAATGCATTCATATCAATTGATGGTATTGTTTACAAATGCTATTAGTAAGATATCTTAAAACTGAAATCTGTAGCTACATAAGGATATTACTGAATCTTTATATGAGTATAAAGACTACGATTTATGTGTATCGCTTCCGCCTGCCTTTATCGTACGAGAGGTAACCTTTACATCATGGATATTAAATGTTATAAACTTGATTTCAAAGATCAATATATCTGCTAACAGTAATTTGCAATTAATTTAGCATTCTATTTGGATCTATCTGCAGGAACAATTTAAGTGAGTTAAAAATTATTTAGATCAGTACACAGAAATATATCAAATAGGCACGTATATAGTTCGGAGTGATATATTTACAATTTCCTTCATGTAACCAATTTGATTCAGCTATACAATAACAGTCATATGTATCACCAGTGTGAAAGTTATTCTTAATTACTACTCGGTCTATAACAGTGCTGTCACAAGGTCTATATTGCATTTTTTGTATTCCTCAACTTATACCTAAAACAGAAATAGATATGAGAAGTATTCCCAATACGAAGATATTGTTACCGTTAAAGAAGCGTTTAAATGGATTTGTGGTGGAATGTTAGATAAATTTTATAATGTCATTCATAAATATCAGGTTAGTTGTAAAATTTTGCTAGTATCTACTAAATTATCAATCGTTGTTACGGTCTGTAAAAGATCTTATTTTAATTTTCTATGGTTACAGAGTTTATTTCAAGTCAAGATAGAGTTTTTATTTCCGGAATCCGAAAGTGACGATGACTTCTTTAACAAGTACTCCAAAAAAAATAAAAAATAGTCTTTTGTGCTTAAGTACCATTAAATAAACATCTTTTATATAGTACAACTACTAGTCATACATAACTCTTCAAAAAAGCTAATATAAATTATTTCTTAAATTTATGAACTTCTTTATGTAAATTGTAGTTATGTCAGCCCCTCATCCCCGCCGAGAAAATTGCGGCGGAGATCACACCTCTCTAAAGTAATATTTCTGCGCTAAAAATTTGAATAAGTTTACGGTATATTGTACCAATGGCAACTACGCCGTCTTAAGAAAATGAATCTGTTTTTACATTACAATCAATTTATAGAAACATTGTGGTAGTCCACTGCTTAATGCAACGTCTGTACGAAATATCCTTCAAACAATTACCTCCCAGGAATTTAGAAAGTATAAGTATAAATATAGTAAACCCTAGTTACTATTTAGCCATGTTCATAGTAACTAATTATCACTGCATATTTTTAAATTTTCCTAGATATAGCTCTTACCCCCCAAAATCTACATCTGAATCAGTTACATATAAAGTGAACTTTAATCGTCAATCAATTTTTATGGCTGGCAAGTGCTACCATTTATTTTCGACGTTCATATTCCATTCCAAAGTTGTAGATGCTTGTACCTGTGTAATAGAAATACCAGCTATAGTTTCAGGAGCTCTTTTTTCAAATATTCTTGCATGTAATTCGTATATCAATGAAAAAAATCTTACTATTTGATCATTACCTAAAGGGCGATATAATAAGTACGATCGAACTATCAGTCAAACGCCTTGGATTATAGATGGCATCCGTAAAGGGGATACTTCTGTACAGGTACGAATAGTATCTCTAGTTCATCTTACAATTATAAATAAGATATGGATTTAATACGAACGCATATGAAGGATTAAAATTAAGTTCAATAAATTATAATAATGCAAAATTGTAGGAGCTTATCTGCGATCCAATCATAGCAAAAGTGAATGCCGATGGTCTGTCATAGTTAATTGCTTGCAATGAGATAATTGCGTACATTAATCGCAATTATCATATTCTGTAATATTTATTGTAAAAACGGTTATATGGCTTACAGGTTGTAAATTTTCATCTTCTGGTCGTGAAGACATTGATGTTCGTATGCTAGGGAAAGGTTACTATCATTAATATCTCATTGATAGGAATGATCATGTTACTTACAATGTAAACTATCGAAGCTATATCAATAAAATACAATGTTTATTGTTATATATAATTTATGAGTTTTCCTTGTACATAATATTTTACGCTAGGACGTCCATTTATAGCTGAAATACTAAATCCTCGTTCACCATTTATGACAAAAATGGAGGTTTTACAGTTACAAAATGTACGCTGCCTTAATATACTGTATTATCTGTTGTTAATTTTACAGCATATGCAGGACGTTGTTTCTCATCGAGTTACTTTTATGACATTTTAGAAAATTAATTTTGCGACAGATAGCATTAAAGTTAAGGACTTACAAATGGTGAAAAGGTCTATTGTTATATCATTTAATTGTTTTATCATATACACATTAAATAAACCATGATTATCAGTAAGATCTATTTATTCATGACGTAGGTGGGATGCATCAAAACTCAAAGATGGAGAAGAAAACAAGACGAAAACTTACAGGTATTCGCAAGCATATTTCAGGATTTAATAACAATGAATCGAGTAGTGGAAAAGGACGAGTTATTTCATTACTGCTACTAATCTAGACTTGTTAATATCATGATTCAGTGCTTTAGTATATTGTAGCGAGACTATCAACGAAGATAAAATACTGCCCTTATGCAAAATGAAGGTGATAAATGTCGAAATTAGGTATTATAACTGTCGATAACCCGAATGATAAGTAACGATTACATACTTGATAGGAGCTAACAATAGAACAGAAAACACCACTGCGCGTTCTACACAGGTAAATAATTATAATATTGATGTCAAGGTGGTGCCACAGCCAGTCTTGTAATACAGCACTTTAACTACATCAATCAGTATGCCGGTATAAGCATGATAGAAATTATCGTAATTGTGAAATCAGTACTATGACGTAATGTTTCTTCTTGTATTGGAATTCCAGACGAACGTTGGCTGTTCGCTGCAGAATGATTTGGTCGATGAAAACCGAATATCTTGATGCCCATCACTTTAAACTATACTTAACCACGCAGGCCGGCACTTATATAAAGGAATTTGTTCATGGTGATTTGGGCAGAACCAAGCCGAACTTATGTACACTACTAAATATGGGAGTCGATATTCTGGAGTTGGATGTTGAAGTAAGATCTAGCCATACCTATTTCATTCTATTTTTCATATCACTTACGTTGATCCTATATAGTATACAGTATAACCTATTCAGCTAATCGTATATCTAATTATTTAGTCCGTTGATTTAGACTGGCCTCCAGAAGTCACTGAAGATAGTTCGGATAATAATAACATATAGTTATATTTTACAACAGTCTGTATACAACATTCTGAGATATACCTGTTACACCGTTGCATATAATTGATTTATTACCCTAAAAATCAGTCGTAACGACTACTGTATCAAGCAATAAGATAACATGCATAATTTATTGTTGCTGTAAGTATGACATTTCATAATGACGTTTCTCGACACTTGACCGAAACTGTGCTAAATCGTTCATTTAGTAAGTTATGACTAGTCTTGATTAGATATTTGACGTGCTAAGTTAGATATTTTATTTCTAATCCATACTCATGATACGGCAATACAGGAAATTGTTAACGCATTGTTTAAATTTGCAAGACTTTATGATAAAATTTTGATAAAGGGTTTGCTCTTAGTTAAAACAATATTTATAGTGCTATAGAGGATCAATTATTTTTTTGCAATAAAGATTGCATGATTACTATAATTCATTATAATGATTTAACAATGCATCACGGTTTTCAATTGATGACTTATAATATTATACATGTATATATATACAGTATATTTACAGCTAGCTTGCAATTAATCCATGCTCCACTTCACAGACACCAAAATTTTAATATACGCTTAATATAGGATAAAGTATACCCACAGGTTGCAATACTGAGTAGGCAAACACGAAATTTCCACTGTAGTAGTAAACTTGAGGAAATGAAAAATAAAATACTGGATGCTCTAGAAATAGATAGTGCTCATCATCTGAAGACGAGTACTTATAATTTTAGTTACATGAAAACTGTATTTTAATCTAAAATGTATCTATTCAAAATTATTTTAGTGCTTCTTCTCTTTCACGTAATATCTTCAACTTTTGCTTCGCGTCTGTTAATCTCTAATCAAAGTCATAAGACGCAGCATTTAAAATATAAATAATTCTTCTAAAGACTATTATTTCATTGCACGGTAGTCAAATGGTATAAAGTTTCGTGATTAAAATGCAATGATACTTTAAAAGTTACAATTATAGGCAAAGTATTAATTTATTAAAACCTACCTGATGCAGGATTTCTAATCGTTGCGGAAGTTCTACGAACTCTTCCACATCAAAGATAGGTTCTATTGGTCACAGGAACAATTGACGAAAATAAAAAATAAGCCATGTTATGATATGGATATCGAGCAAAAACTATCGAAATTACTAGTCGTTTAGAAATTAACTAGCAACCCTATATTAAAAATATTCAGCAGAATAAAAACCAGAAGTATCATAGGGTTATAATTACCTTTACTAGAATCGTCAGGTTGTACGATTTTAGCTATTAATTCTATTCGTTCATATTTTTCCTACAGGGTTCACCGATATTATAGGATAATAATTAATTAGAGCTATAGTCGATTACAGTTTTTAATGAAGATGGATTGTATTACATGTGATCGATCAAAAACATGTGTATGTCACCCAGTCTGAACTATAAAATCATACCATATTAGCTCTTCGAAGCTGAAATAAGTCGTGCAAAAGGATCGCAACACGTTGATGCCGAGATTGGCGATCAGCTACATTTGCTTCTTCAATTTTTTCATAACTGAGATATTGTTGTAATAAATTTGCCCATACTTGATCAATAGATTCCTCTTTTGCCATATATAGCAAAGCCAAACGATTTTACATCAAAAGTACAGTCGATGGGCAAAAAATTATTGCATAATCAATTGTGAGTCCTTCTTCGATATGTACTGCCGTACTAACTGTAAGTTGTATTGAACGTAGTTGCGTAGTATACCATAACAATACTCGTACTGCATAATGGATACAGACAGTATATCTACAAAATGGTACTACAATATTCCTACTTTCCTACGCCTACAGTACAGTAGAATTATTATCCATGTTTTAATAATGAATAAAGCTTGTAATATTTGTAAATTTCAGTCTAGCTTGAAATACTGATTTATATCTATCCCTATCATATTTATTAAAGAGTTAAACAAACAAGAATAAAAAGATATTCGGGCAATATTACTATTGATCGTATAAGAGCGAGTTGATTTTTACCGCTGCTAGGGTGTTCGTCCCATGGGATGCCATCAATGTTTACTCTAGCTTTGAAGCGTTTACCGATAGAGTCGATCAGAGTCTAGTAGTAATCAATGAAAGCGATTCCAGATTAGTCAGTATGATTTATTTGACAAAATAAAAAAATGTATCATCGATAAGGATATCAAATTGAAATTATTTGCAAGTCTAGGTACAATGTAAAAGATAAGATTAACTTAAAGCGATAGGAAGACAATCAGTCTATAACAAGTTCAATGATAAAGTACTTTTGTAAATAATAAATGATACATACGATAGCATCCAATACTATTACCGTAGAACAACATTGATATTACCCTGCTTTCGTAATGTAGGATAGTACAGTATTTCAATTTACCTCGGATAATTTCCTCTTCTTGTCATCGTCTAGGTTGAGTTTTTGGATGCTGTTATCAAGCAATTTTGTCATAGAGTCTAACAATTGCATTACGATATGTTTGCTGTTTATATCCAGGCTATTTACGGACGATTCCATGTTCCGTCTTTAGTTCTGTTTCGAAAATGAAATGGATTATTGTATACCGCATGAATATGTAGTAGGCTATTCTACCGTATGATTACAATACTCTACTAGTCTTACTAATAGTTAACAACAATGGCCAAAAGTATTGTGCAGGTAAATTAGCATTTATTAGATAACTTTCGGCTAATGTATATCATCAAGTTTTACTGCCTATGAAATTCTTATACTGTATCATTAAGCACGTCTATCAATAATAATATGCTCGTATGCGTTCACAGCTTTTCGATCGACTTAGCATTTACCTACCTGTTGTACCCAAGAGCTTGAATTATTAAGAGTAAAAACAAGACACCATAGGTAGACTTATATCATAGTAAAGTACATCAATGAAAGATCCAATCCTGTTGCTTGTTGTATGTCAATCAATGGACACTATTGAGCCACTTTTCGCTTTTTTACCAATATTCATCCATAAACACCGACAAGGGTGCTGCAAATAAATCGAAATATCATCTATTCATCTTGTTCAACAGTTCTATACACTTCATTTTACCAATTTCTAATCAATAGATTAGCCAAATAAACAGTAAAAGCAGAGTGTGATGCTTCATAACTTGACATACCAGATTACTAGGCAAAAGACTTTAAATAGCTTGATTTTGTCAAAAGTTTGACGTTGTAGAAGGTCTTGAAATGGTCTTCTACTGTATATTTTTGATCAGGCTGTCCGATGAGATCCCGCCATTTACGGGTTCGATTGATTTTCTATCAGTACAGTGTACAGTACAAGCTATTGATAGTCTACAGTACAGTGTAGTGTAGTACAGTACTGTACTCCAGGACAACTGAGCCAGTTTTCCATCCTGCCTTGGACAGACAGACACCATTGGCCTCATCGCGTCAAACTATTGTACCAAACACCTCGTTATGATAGTACTTTAGTATGTAAACGATCGATCGATGTTAAATTGACTGATTTTTTCTAAATTAAGTAATATTTCGTTAAATCTTATTATTTGTTAGTATTTCTACTTGGAAGCAGTTCTACCAGATCGTAGATGTTATTTGAATTAGTTCCAGTGATTTAGAAAACAGATGCGGAAGATCCATACCTACAGACTGGTCTACCCACAGTCCAGTAACAGCAAGTAAGTATTTTTCGATATTTTACGGCCTCATTTAGTTAGTAAAGTCCGTCTGTCCGAGGGGAGTGATAGAGGGTCTCTCGTGTACAGTACAGTACATACCGTAATATACAGGGTACACTGTACAGTACAATGTACTGTAAATACAGTACTGTACATTGTAGACACGAAAGCGAGTTAACTGCATAGAGATAGCCCAGTGGCATTCCAAGAAAAGTCCGCCTGTCCGAGGGAAGTGATCGTGTACAGTGTACAGTACGTCATACTGTGCATGTATTACTGTAGACTGTAGACATGAAAGCGAGTTAACCGTAGAGAGACAGACCAGTGGCGTTGCTGACAGAGCAAGAAAAGTCCGTCTGTCTGAGGGGAGTCGTACAGTACTGTACGTAATAAAACCGAGTTAATTAATTAAGTGGTGTTGCTAACAGAGCAGGAAAAGTCCGTCTGTCCGAGCGAAGGGCTGGTGTACAGTGTACAGTACGCCATACTGCGCATGTATACTGTAGACTGTAGACATGAAAGCGAGTTAACCGCATAGAGACAGACTAATGGCGTTGCTGACAGCGCAATCTGCTATACTGTATGTTTCAGACTGCGCGGTTATTTGAATCTCTCGTCTCGTTGGTTACTAGCTGCAGAAGCAGAAACTCTCCATTGGGCCTGCAACGAATGTCGGCAATCGATGATGAGCTATCCTATATCCTATGATGGTCATTGCCCTTACTGCCATTCCAGTGATATCTTGTATATAGTATTAGTCAAGAATGACGAGAACAAGAAAGAAGTAAGACAGTCACCAACAGAATTGAACTTGGAGGAAAATTCCAATCAATCCACTACGTGTCCGTTGTCGGAGAACCACCGCAAGGAGCAAAGTGAAGATGGAAAAGCAGCAACAACGTTGTCCGATGATAAGTCGCAACAACAAGACAAGAATGAAACTGACAAGGACATCGAGAACAACGATACAGCTGCTTTAAAAGAGGAAATAGAGACAGATACACCCAAATTGGACTCGTCTACCAACAATGACCATTTACCCGATATTATTGAGTCCCTGCTAAAGTTAGGCCTTGCTTATAAAGTACCTGAAGATAGAGGTAAGATGATCGAATTTTGGAGCTGATTTACTATATTTCATTGCTAATGAGAAAGAAGATGACAATAGAACTGAAAGCCTCGCAATAAAATTAAAACTTATTACGTTCTCTATTCTATAATCTGCACATACTGAAATACTCCAAAACAGTGCTCACTCTACATCGTAATATTAGCATATTCCAGTTTTGGACCAGACTCCAATAGGTGGAATCAAATATCGCACTCACGCGATGACTTGAGATCCAATTTCAATTTTTAAAAATTCCTGGCCTGCCAATCAGTGCATGATAGCGAATAATATACAGTATATAACATACGAGATATGTAGAGGATGCTATCTTGACCTCACTGAACATTGAAATGACGTTATTCAAAATTGAGGAATTACTAACTAAATATACTGTATTAGTTCATTTTCTCCAAAACGTTAACTTCAGATACGATCATTATACTTCAGCATAGTTCTAGTTACAATTTCATCAAGGTCCAATCTGTTTCTTAATTTAAATCTGTTTGTTGTATTATAAAAGACTCCAATGAAATTCCATCATTTCAATGTCGTTCGTGCGGCTATGGTTTTAATCTCGATTGGTCAAAGAATAGCTTGCAATCAATCTTCAAAGCTAACCTGGATAGCGCAGAAAAAGGGTTAGAAATTGGCTTTAGTAATAAAGATTTCTGCTAATAAAATCGAATGAAAATTTCAGAAGATTGATAATTACGAAAAATAGACATAAAATTGCACTTACTTATCTTTAGGTAGCGTGAATAGTTTATGTTTACAAAGTGCATGACAGGACAAAATTGTATTATTCAATTTTTCTGCGTCAAAATTACTTGACTGTTAAATTAACAACTTCATGATTCACTGCCGAAATTGTAAATAGTAATAATTTGTATCTGCATGCAATAATAGTAATATGCAATTATTTTAAATTAATGTTATTGTATTGACATTCTATTTATCTAAAAGCTTGTCTGCACAATCAAGCGACCAAAGTGATACTGCTCAAAGTGGTCAAGTTGATGCAACCAACTTTGATTATAACACATACTACCAGTATTATCAATATATTCATCAATATGGAGCACAGCCGTCTACCGTAAATTCAGTCCAATCTGATACTGCAAATGTAAAAGATGCTGTTGAGAAAACTAACGAGAATGTGGATGGAGATACAGCAAATCCTGCTCATGCCAACCAAAAGTTGCCCGACGCAGTTAGTATTACTTTCTGATATCGTATCCAAATACTTACAATATATGTAAAAATAATCATTGCAATAATAATTTTATAATTAACGTATTAATCATTCAGGCTGATAATACTACGGCAAACATAAATGCACTATCGTCCTACGCCGATTACTATGCCTACTGGCAGAATTACTACTCTATGATGAATCAAAATACAGCTCAACAGCAATCGTCAGCGAATGCTAAAACAACTGTTAGCGAATCACAGAGCCAATCAAAATCAAAATCAAGCTACACGACAGAGTATAAAGATTATTCCGTTAGTGCTTTCTTTAATAGCTCTACTGGTAGATTTCAAAAAATGTCTGACGATCAACATTGGACTAGCAAGGGTCTTCCATCAGATCGTGACTTCCGACAAATGGCACACTACTTCGATCCAAATACTCTAAATGAAATTTCTGTCAATGAAAAGCAAAAGATAAAAAAGAAACGAAAATTACCCCAAGATCAAGTTCAAAAATTAAAAGAAGAGAAAAAATTGAAAAAGCATAGATCATTAATGAAGTCACTTTTATCATAATTGCTGTATTTTTATTCACAGTCAGATATACTATCTATAGCGACATCCCTACTGTAGATATATTAATAAAATACTCTATTGAAATTCAAATACCATTTATGGCAGTAACTAATGTAACTCTCGATATTTATGACAACTTCTGCATAATTGGTAAGGATTTACTTTTAATATGTAATCTTTCAATGCCCATCTGTACTTTCGTAAAATAAGCTAGTCAATTATTAAGAAATGACAAACGTTACTAGAGCCTCAGTTTAACACGTACAGATAAAGGAAAAGGCCTCTACGGTGTAACATATAAATTGTATCAAAATAATTTTATTGCCAAACATGTTGATTACATGTCTTTTTTTGCTAATTGCAATACATTGCTTTTTAAAATTGAAATATTCAATAAATACATTTCCTATACAATGATTTTAGCATTAAACACGTCTTCAAGTTAACAACTCTAAAACAAGATCTTTCATAAATCTATGAGAAAAGTAGTGTTATCATATACAAAGTAGTAAAACAAACTTTAAATATATGAAACTATACAGAGCGCACTTGCATTCTCTATTTAATATAACATATACACCAATTGTTGCGGCTTATTTTATTTACATGTGATCAATACATCAATTCGATTTATCAAGCATTTGTCGATTTATTTCTATCCAAACTAATCATGATCCTCCGCACAATCGCCAGGACACGAATTATCCATATCATCAGAGTCTGCAAGATAAAGTTTGAAAAGCATGAAATAATAGCAAAATACTACTGCATTTACCTTCGATAGTACACCCCATTATTTCGTATTACGATATGAATTGATGAGACTGGTTAATAACAATTTCTTTTAGTACTCCAAGTTAATAATACGCGTATTACGATACTATGGCATTTTATAAGACTGTATACTGTACATAGAGTTAGGGTTAGGATTGTATATCGGACAGAGTAAGCTTTAATAATATCAGAAATTAAGGCATATATTTTTTATACCATAAACAATGATTCATGATTAGCTATAATTAATTTAGCTATTTTGTTATCAACATAAACGCTTAGATATAGTACATACCATCGTAAGTTGTAGCACACCATATGCAGTAGTGGTATTTGCTTCTTAAGTATTGGTTGAGTTCTACTAGCCTTTCGAATTCCTTTTAAAAATAATAATTTTCAACTATTAAAACAAGCACAGTTAACCTGTAGTATACTTCAATGGCGTTATAGTTTAGCGTTTAAGTCAAAATTGATCACCATAATACGGAGAACTGCATGTGAAATAAGAATACAGTTAAACATTTTTCTTTCCTAATTACCGATAAAATCATGATGAAAGCTACGTTTTATCAGTAATTAGTAAAACGCATATGATGAATTTCTAAGTGCAGAGTAATTTATAACATTATTACTATAATCAACAACGAATGAAATAGACAGCAAATACGAGCTATACCGTAGCTGTGTCTTCAGCATCATCTTCTAATGTACATTGCTCTTTTTCGTCTTCATCATCTTCAATTAACCAGTACCATGGTTTTACATAATTTAAATCCTTGCTTTCATCTAATCTTTGGCAAGCCAGCTGCGCTTTTCGTAAATCATGCTTAGCACGCTGTTGCGTGCGTTTCGAACGAATAAGTTCACGAAAGTTTTCAGCTCGCTCTTTTTCTACTAACTGTCTCCTTTTGGCCAATTGTTGAAGTCGTATTTCTTGTAATTTTCGTTTTCTATTTTTTTCCTCATCTTTACCTATTCCACCTCGATCTAATGGGTATAATTCAGTTGTTATAAAATAGGATAGCCGATAAAATTCATATAACGCACCTCGTAATATGTATGCATCACTAGATATTTCCATAATGGAATAAACTGATTTAACCCTTTGTGGTGTCGTTGTTAAAAATTACCAAGTAATTACATACCTCCTTTAATATTTATCGGCAATGGTTCAGCTATTCCATTTGCTGTAATTGTCATGAAATGAATTATAATTAGTTCAATTCAGTGTCATAGAACATGATATTGTAGAATATCAATAGCAACAAATCGTACCTAGTAAACTGCATTACTAATAATCATACTGTTAATTAATCAAGCCTCTAGTTTAATGTTAAACACTGCTCCAAATCTTCAATCAATAACCATAAACACGTCTAGTAGTCTACGCCATAATTAATCGTGCTCAATAAACTACGTTGCTGATAAGAATGCTACTAAGTAATTAATCCAGCCTCTAAGTTAGTGTTCAACACTGCTTTGTAATCTCCTATCAACTACGAGAGTGCCAAAGAATCTTTTTCTTTTTATAGCTTGAATCATTATATAATATTTTTATATGTACGAATATATAAGTCACGGTATATATTATAACAACAATCATCAATTACGATTGTCACTTACAGTACAATAACGAGTAAAAATAGAGAGTCGGTCGTATAAGGGTATACGCTTAAAAACGGGTATTAATCAAAACTCCAAACTACTTTAAACTACAGTAGTTTCCAAAGGGTAGAAAGTAGAGTGTAAAAGGAGTCTTTTCTTTTCACAATTTGTATTCTAAAACAGCAATGAAACTGCACTGCAATGTACTCAGTACAATTCAACTTCAACTGTTGTTCAGTACTGAAGAGAGCAGCCATTGGACACTATTACTATTTTAAAATAGCATCACTTTACTGAGAGTAAATTACTTGTACTGCATATGGTGTAGAATAAAAAGAAAGAGCAGACAACAAGAAAACTTTATTGCATGATGTATGCAAACTACTATGCACTCGTATGCTCAATTTATTATCCATTCACTAATTCTATTATACGTATCACTGAGGTACATGATTTTGCAACATAATCGTATTCAAGCTGCAAGAAATAATATCGATCATGTACCTCAGTGAATTCTTTTTCTTTTTTATACCAGAGTAATATGTAGCTTCGAAATATTGCTGAAGGTAGAAGAATACTGTCTAACAACAGGAATAATACCTACTATACAAGTAGAAGTTTGCACAGTACCTTTTCTACCGAGCCCATCACCAACTTTGTAACCCATCTTGGCCATCAACTTAAATCCTTTATTATCAGTTCCAATGGCCTTCTTTAAAACTTCCTCTCGTTTCTCCGCTTGTAACACTTTCAACGGTTTCATTCGATTCTGGTGACTTTTAAGATGAGCTTGTTCTTCTTCAATCCTCCTCTTCCTAGTGTACTCTGTTAGTCGAGATGCATCAGAATTGTTAGCCTCATTTAGATATATGTCCGACATATAATCGTCAACCTCAGGGTCCTCAGACATATTTCAAGCACTTCAATATAAATCCTTGCAAGCAACGGTAAGAGACCAAATAGCAATAACGTAGTCCGTAATAGTACAGTATTACTTTGCTGGCTGTCTCGTAGATTATATATTATAGCTACAAGGGATTCTTCTCAGCGACACCTGAATTTACGAGTAGCTTTTCCGGCACAGATTTACTTCCAATTTTAACTGCAGTTAATGCAATCGTAAGCGAATGCTGCGGCGAAACGGATCAGTATACCGACTATACGATATTGGCGATTAGGCTATCTGACAGTTGCACCTTTTGTGCCTGCTATAAGAAACCAAATTGCTTCTTGCTAGTGATAATTCTTTCTCATTTCATAGACGCGTAAATGCTTTAGAACAGCTGATTCCTTCCAATTTTGCATGGACAGAGTTTTCAACCTTTTATTTTTGCGTATACAGTACGTGTATGTCCAATATCCATCGGTAAGCTACTAAGAGGGGTATCTACTCAACGCTCATCTATGGGATATATTAAACCTCTTGAGTTGTGTCTATCACAATCGTACTGACTGTAGTGCTCTCCACTGCGAAGTAATACCTAACAGCATCTAGTAGATCTACAACAGTCGAGCTCAACTTGCAGACCAAAACTCTCCTCAATTGCTCATCGTTAATATCCTAATTAGCTGGTTGATTATACTGTATTACTCACGTCACCAAGTACAGTTTATTCGCTCCCATTAGACTAAGACAGCTTCTCTAGCTGTGAATATTTTAAGTTAGTTCATTGATTTTAATTATAGATAGCAACATTAGTAAACTACCCGTTCAAATGAATAGAACATAATCTGCATCAATTAAAAAAATCCACAGCTAGATTATCTTAATATAGTATACAACTTGGATTGACTTTTGTTAAAATTGTTGACATTTTGCTGATCTCAGATGGAAAGAATCATGATAGATGCCCATATCCATATCAGTGATGATGAATTTAATGAGGCGAGTGATATACGTATAAGTAATGCTAAATGATAGCAAGTTAATAAATTAATTAAACACTAGCTGGTAAAAATAAACGGTTCGATGGCACAGAGAAAACTGAAATATGACTTTTATTACCTAAATTTTATCTATAATGAGTACATGTATAGCTCACACAATAATATGGATTATGCTCATTAGAAATACAAATGATATAGCGTTAGATTAGATAAATGAATTGATTATGCGATAATATCTATTGAGTGAAAAGCATCATAGTACGGTATAACGTAGAATGCCAAGTAAATGAGCAATTTGGTTACCGATTTATCGCATTAATTAAATGAATTGAAACTGTAAACTAAATATGAGGTTTACTCACACAAACTAGATACTTATTACTGCAATAGTAATGCTAGATGATTATGTAGTATATTGACGAGATCTTACTACTTCAGATCATCCATCACTGTTGTAAAAAGTTGTCAATACATAAACCTCTATACGAGTATATACGTCAATAAAACGTCATATCAAGCGCTTAGAGCATTCGTATTTGCTAATTATATTATTCTAATTGAAATAATATAGGATGTGGATAAAATTATCGTTGAGGCCAAGACGGTATGACTAAAAGTCGATCGACCCACTCTCTGCTTGCTTAATACATGTATATTTATCGTACACTAGCACTAATATTATGAGTATTTCAGCGTAGAATAGAGACTATTTTACAGTACAATGTCAACTGGAGCCAGCTTAATTTACATAATATCTCTAGTATCTCTGGTAGATGTTAAAAGTTGGATATTGTATCATAACTGGTATAGAGTAGATATCGAATAGCTCCAATGCTGGATGCTTCGACTAGAAATAACCAATATGCTAGCCATCAATAACTTGATACATAATACAGTATTTAATCAATAGCTTATGCAATTACTTGCTTTCATACCACGATAATCAAGATTCATTAATTATTCAGGTTGGTGTTAAGGCTATGGTAGCAGTAGCTGAAAAATTTGACGATTTCCACAAAATTATTGGTCTTAGCGAAAAGTAATCCAAGCTAAGATGAATATCTGTAATAGCGAATTTAGAAATTCTGATTCTCATCTTTATAGCTAATTTGAAACAGTACATGTGATATAAAGCTGCAATTACAATCACTTAAATTCTTTAATTTGAAGGTATAAAAATTTTATTGTTCCAGCCCTTGGACTCCATCCAGTTAAGGTATATTATTTGATTATATATCTGAATAACAAGTATATTTAGATATGCAAATATTGAATGATTGGGAACTCTATACTGTATGTACTAAATATAGTCATTAATATAAAATAACTCAATGTTAGTCTATAGCCTGAATCTAAGCGTATCATTATGTGACATATTAGCTTTACTAACAGTTAATTTAATATCATAATATGGATATGCATTTTTTAGCCAGGATCTCACGACACTGAATCAAGGAGTGTCACTTTAGAAGTAAGACAGAATCTTAATATCATGTCAAAGATACAATATGTGGTTAATATAATCTCCTGCCTATGAGCAGTATCAACTCACTCTATATTCGACCTCTAAAAATCAATTTTTGTTAGGATTACCAAATGGCTGAAACTTTCTTACGTGAGCATCATAATATATTGGTAGCGATTGGTGAAGTTAGTATATTTTACATCTACTCTCTTATGATAGCTATCTTTAACGCTGTATTCGTATCTCTCTTTGATGCATTAGTATCTTAGTTTTTCCAGTAATTAACTACGTATATATAATTCTTTGTAGGTTGGCCTTGATTTTACACCCTACAACGTTAAATCTTCAAATGATAAAGAAGTCCAAAGAAATATTTTTAGAAAACAAATCCAATTAGCTAGAGAATTTGGATTGCCCTTGTAATAATATTTAGACACCTATAACTGTACTTTTAATGATACCTTCTTCTATGGAAGTTAGCTAAATGCCAACGTTCTATTTTGTGTAATACTAATAAAAATCGTTTTATGTATTAGAAACGTTCATTCTAGATCAGCAGGTCGACCAACGATCCAAACTTTGATAAGTGAAGGTGAAATTAGAAATCATAATAGCTTCTTAGAGTCAATATATTGCCGGTGTAAGTCCGCAATAAAGTGTGTTAACTTCAATTATCAACTAGGTGCAACTGCAGTACTACTACATGCTTTCGATGGTAAAGTATCGGTTGCCAGGCAAGGAGTTGAAGCTGGGTTCTATTTTTCTGTTCCACCTTCAGTGATTCGATCAGAACAGGTATGAAATAGTCTGCGATACTTTTCTGCATAATTCATATATAATTATATATATTAAGAATAGAAAATATAATCGACTACTACTTATAAAGATCATGAGTGAAGTTATTTCAATAAATGGGCTGTATTTTTTTTCTGCGAAATTGCTTCGTTTTCTTAATTGAAATTTACCCGTCTACTATGTATTCTAACCAGAAACAACGTTTGGTTCGATCGATTCCGTTAAGTAACTTGTTATTGGAAACTGATGCACCAGCATTAGGTCCTGAGAAGCAGGTGCGATTGTACTAATCAGTCTATAATCTAAGTAAAATTAAAAACTTAATATAGTAGTGCCTGTAGCCTCTATTTTTACATTATACTGACATCTTATCGAGTGATGTGAAATAGATTCGAAATGAAGCGAAGAACATAGAGATCTCATGCCAAGAGATAGCGCGAATAAAGAATATTTCCGTAGATGAAGTTAAGGAGTCAACAACAGCAAATGCATTAAGGCTTTTTCCGCGATTGACAAATCTATATAATATATGTGATGACGTTACATATAATTTTTAGATTACTGCTACTTTGCTTCCTCTAATGAATGACACTGTAAATAATCTTACGTTTATGTAAATACAGAGAGTGAAGTGGTATTCATATATTACACAAATTATACTTGAAATGAAATAGCAAGTAAATACCGGAAATATAGTAATAAGTGGCAGTAGATGGTTTTATTTTCTCCTGTCAATTAAACCACATAACTGTACAAACCATAAAATATTTACTGTTAAGGATAAAGTTACTGATACATTTCAATACTTATAGGTTAAAATGTTATCAGCTCATAGCAATTTAAGTGTTCTTAATCTATACCTTGATAACAATTAAATTAGGGTAATAGGTTATTATAAAAAATCGCTAAATAAGATTAATCAAATTTATACTTGTATTATTTATATAGCCCACAAATAGACAGTACGGATTATATAGTAAGGATTTCGACGTCTTTGTCTCAACTTTTAGAGAGAAAAGTTAAGTGGGATTTGTCTGTTATGTATCGAAATAAAATCAAACGTCAATAGAACAATCTACTGTTTCTGCAAATTAAGGAATAGAAACTATTGAACATACTTTGACTTTGAAAATGACGCCTTTCCTTATTCTTCATTTCTACATCCATCTTTTGTTTCGTATGTTCTACTTCTCTAAACTTTTGAGTTTCTGATTTGAAGGCATTACTTTTTGATTGATCACCATAATGTCGTTTTTGCGAACGTAACCAATCTTCATCAGCTTTACGCTCGACTGTACAATACGAATCATGCGTAGACATTTTTTATTTTCCTTTTAGCTTTCGCTATGCAAGCACCTACAGTATTTGGAGAGCTGTTAATATTAAGAAGGAAGCATATATATAGTTCTATGCTAAGCTATCATAATTTAGATAGCTTTTAATATCTTTTATTAAAGTTGAATTTAATAACGTTTAAGTTAGTCTTGACTTTTTTCTTTACAATCTACTAAAGCTGTACTAAAAGTTTTTACGAGCATATTTATATCTCTTATACATAATATAACGTTCAAGCGATCTAAGAAAACGGAATCTGATTAGTAACTTTTAAGATATTACTTTATCGATTAAGCACTTTACATGAGAAACTGACGAGCGAGAACCATCGCTTATGTTAAAAATAGCCTCATCAACAAGCAACTGATATTACTGGTATAATGCAATCGTCTATTAATTATCCATCACACCTAGCTATAACGTGGTGAAGAAAGTCATAAACTTTCCAATTCTAAGTAAAAATATAGATTCTACCTGTCTATAACTACCTATCTCGTATCATGGATAGCATATAACTACTACGTGAACAGTATTTGCCAGCTTAACAACTTGTTGCTACCATCGTTTTCGTTTTCTTTTGACATGTATTAATTTGATCAATTCAAAGTTTAAAAATTCAAAAATGAAACAGCTATCGTACGCATTTTGGCCGTCCTATGTTCAGAAAGCTTAAAAACAGACAATATCAGATTAATATATCACTTTTTGCTACAAATTTTACCTTTTGACGTTCGTCCTTTCCATAAACTTGTCCAGGAGTTTCTAAAGTATTCTACACTGTAGTACTGTTGATTATGACAGCAACGCATCCATATAGGCCCTACAATTAGTCAGTGTCCATCCATCGATTGAGAAAGGGATATCAATGGGTACTGTAGCTAAAGCACACATTTCATACTATGCAAATAAACTTTTACTAGTTCATGGACTCAAATTGTTTTACTACCCCAAAAGAATTCATTGTTCTTCATTGATAGTTTTTTGGTCACTAGGTTACCATGATATACAGTATATAAGAGTCGCTGCTACGCATACCGTTATACTAATAGTACTCTCATTTTTACGATCATTGAACATTAGTAATATCGAGTATAGTGTCATCTATTAAACAGTGAATAGTATATACTGTATATCTATAGCTTACACAGTAACAACAAGAATCCTCTTATTACTTACCTTAATATCGACAGCACTAATTACGGGATTCGAATATGCACACTTTGTTTTATATAACAGAAGTTATCGAATGCTCACCCGGCAGATCTTCGTTAACATACTCACTATTTATATCGTGTAGTACCGTAATTAAACAGTGAACAGTATAGTATATCTATAGCTTACACAGTAACAAGAACCCCGCCATTACTTACCTTACTATAGACTGCACTTATTCCGGGATTCGAATGGCCCGAATATGCACACTTTGTTTTATATAACAGAACCTATCGAATGCTCACCCGGCAGATCTTCGTTAATATGCTCACTATTTATATCGTGTAGTACCGTTCAGCTGCTGCAAAAACTACGGCGGTACATGATGCCCGAAAAGATCACTATTAAATTTAATAGGAAAAGCTTCAGATAAATCATGTATACGGTATATATATATATATATATATACTATACGGTATAGATTAGATTTTAATAGCTAAATAAACAGCCATGATTTACAGTATATGGTACTGTATAAACACAGCAGTGATTCTAAATATCAGTAGTTGTAGCTCGATCGTACAGTTGTATCCGTTGAGCCAGGGCAACTAAGAATAGCGTGACTGAAAATGGTTCTTCAGTGCAATAAATGTGAGCTAGCCCCCCTCAAATTATAGGGCCCTATTAAGTAAACACAACGTTCAAAACATGACGTTAATTCAAGTCTACTGATTAAATGTTATGTTAAATATTAAATAAGTTCAACAGTACAACCGCTCTACAGATAGTAAAACTATACACCTAGACAGTACCTCGCCGTCATCCCTGGAGGTGATAGCAAGAACCGTAACCTATTATTATAAAAATACTACATAGCTGATTTGTATCGAAACGAAGACTAAGACTGATATTATCAATAAACTATATCATAGATTAATATCGGTTGTGAACCAGAATAATAAAATCATAGTCGAAGAATTGCAAGTGACAACGTAAGCCAAGTTTATAGATAGTAATTTAATATTATTATTAGTCTGTTTACGTACATCCAGGGAAGATCTGTTACTATAGCAGATATTTATGAGCTGATTAAATTTTTAAATATTATTTCACTTCAATTGAACGTTTATGGCGCTAATATGTACTAACAATGCAGTATGATAGACGTGTATGCTATTATTATGCAGTACGGATCAATTCTAAATTTGATTAATTTAGCATGCATACGACACGTACGTATAATAACGATACCGCGATTTGCTAAATTTATAATGGATAGGACTAGTAGAGCATCATATTGTCTGCACCCTATTACTCCGTCGTACTATGGTAATGTAACTAGTTGCTTAGAAATATATCATAAAGTAGAAGCTGGTACAGTATCTTTATCGTGATATACGCGTATGCGGGTATATTGATGATCGATAGATTGCTATGCAGCATAGGGAACTCTGTATTAACTTCAGGAAGCCATATAATCTAAATTATCATTAAAAGGTTTTTTATTGACTTCATTTAATTTAATACAGTAATATTGAATTATTCGTTTATATATATTATTATATTACAACGGGAACCATTTTAGCCAAACTGGGAATTTAAAAAATTAAGCAATTCCTGTCTGTTCTTCTCTCTCTACATTAAAAAAATAAAAAGTAAATAAACTTCCAAACAGTGGAATATACTATAGAAATTCACACGTGATGGATATAAATGAAACAGAAATGAGAATCACTGTTAGTACAGTGGAATAAGCTATTTTCCTTGTTGGTGTAAGATAAGCATATTATTGCATTATATACATATTAATACCTGCTTATCCTCCGTTGATTTCTTGATTTTAAGTTTCATTTTTTTCCCGGAGACTGCACTTCGTTGATCCTCATCCTTTTTCCGTTCTTGAAGGTACTACAGTATTGAATTGTATAGAAAAACAGGGTTATATGTAGATCACAAAATTGCCTAGCATAAACTGACAAATTTTTATTATTGACATATCTCTGACAATAGTCATTAAAATATTGGCTAGAATCTATGGTATGTGATGACTACCTTATCGCTTTAATAACACGATCGAAATTGTCGAGCAAGTTTCATATTTTCAATTAGATACCTGAGACAGCTGCACCGGACCTGATGATTTACTTTCCGAATGTTTCTTGGATTTTTTATCTTTTTTTAATTTTTTTTTCTTCTTTTTCTCTTTCTATAATAATTTTACAACTAGTTAATAGCTACAAAATAATTCTAGGATTTATCGATATCACATCTGGTTATGCATAAACCAACAATAAATATAAAGAAAGATTTACTCATACTCATCAAAATCGAGAGATCTCTAATTGCTACTACGATAGAAATTAATCCTAACTATTGAAATTCGCATATAACCTTTAATTTTTTCTTATGTTTTTTCTTTTCTTTTCTTCTTTCTTCTATTAAACATCGTATTATATTATTTTTAAAGGTGGTTAGCATGGTCAATAATCATACCGTAGGATACTTTATAATCTTTACCTACTGATATATTTTAACGTGGTATTTCCAGGATAAGTTAATAACTACACATATGCAGTATATGTTAAATGTTAATTACCGGAATCGCTGTCACTGATTGACGTATTAGACGCTGATGAACTACTACTATTTCTCCGACCGCCATGATGTTGCTTCTTTCTATGACTATCTATAAAGTGATAATTATAAGAGCAAATAAGATATAGTCATCCTACGAAGGCAATTAAGTCATTGCAAAAATTAATCTTTTATTTCTATAAAATCCATTACATACTCGTATACTGTTTTACAGGTACAGTACTATGTAGTAAATAATATACTGTAGATGGGATTTGTTCTGTTGAGTATTGGCTAATTTGATGACAGAAAGATTGAAATCCCATGAGTCTACTATTCAGTTGCACTGCAGGTTGCACAGTGTAACGTACGATAGACATAACAGCTATAAAGTAGTCAATCGTCAATAGGATAGATTTGATAGATAAATGTAACAGTTCACTGCTACTTAATTCGGCACTGCAAACATAGCACTATCAAACAACTACCAATATCATTAAATAAGAATTATACTATAATTATTAATAGATATTAATCAGTACAACACGATGATCTTTTGTTATCATGTTGTTTTTGACCTTCATTGTCGCTATCAGAGCTCTCGCTCTCGTCATACTGATGATCATGACGGCGTTTCCTTTCGTTTCTTTCTAAAGACAAAATTCAATTTAAAATATTATTACTCATGTAGACAGACAAGCTCGTGGATTCAATTATAGATAAATAAATAAATTAAACTAGGGACTTTAGGCCGTATTTGCATATATTGATAATCATTCATTTCATAGAATGCGTGTTTCAGTTGGATACAGAAGTTCTAATTGATTAAGCAGTACCCCTATGCAAATCAATGAGCTTTTGCGTGGCAATATAACGGTCGATACAACAAAGGATGTATTATAACTGGCACGAAGCAATTCGCTAAAGTAGGATACTTATACATATCTGCTGGCATACGAGATTGTTAATGGGTTACAATTATAACATACGTAATTCGTTACGAGAAAAGATTAACCCATATATTTAGCTCGATAAAAGATACAGTACAGTATAGTCAATAGCGGAAGATTTTATTGCTGCTTCTTTTGCCAATAACACAGATAATAAAGTCATAAATTGTGTCCCTTTATACGTCGATTTGATCTTTATGATTCTATTATGAAAGCCATCAACGAGCATAGATATATAATTGATTCGATGATAATAATAATAATTACAATCATAACTGTACTCCACACTCGCCATTTAATCATAATACAGTATGTTTATATGTGAAAGGAGAACAACCATAAATCAATCTGCATCCTTACTCAATATTATACAAACTTTAGGCATACCTTCTTTACTTGACATTGAAAAAATTAGACCTCGATATGCTGTTAAATCATGTAAATATTTTCATGCAGTAAGGTTACGATGGAGGTAGCTGGAAATGTGCAGGTTAAGCCAGGGGCTCAGGGCCTCAGGCGCATGCTTTACTTTCCAGCTGGATGACACAAAAGCAAATTTTACTGCTGGAGGTCCTCCATCCCGTTGCTGGTACCTTCATACCAAGCTAAAAAACAATAGATCATGTTTGAGTATCTACCCTGCCATAGGCGATCCAGTCTCTTTCTTTCACCTTCGCTACAATACAGTACGTAACAAAGTACTGTACAGTACTGTACTACTGTACATTATTGTACTGTACACTGTACGATCTGGACCGACAGAAGTACGGTACATACCGAAGTCGATTTTCTTCTAGTAGTCCATAGTACAGTTGTCTGTATCTCATTGATCTCCTAAGCTCGAGTCCACATTTAGCACAGATTCATAGATTACCTCTAGCATGGACTGCTAGGTCTTCTGCTAGTAGTCCATGCCTTTTTCTAGCTATCGTCAGGCAACTTTTGCTTTTACCAGGCTGCATTAGATCAAGATCTGCTCAATAAGAAGAAGAAGAAATCATACAACGATGGCTAAACCATTCACATATCAAAATTACAAGATTTTAGCACCTATGGTTCGCATGGGCACTTTGCCATTACGATTGCTATCGCTTGATTATGGCGCAGATCTTGTATATTGTGAGGTTAGTTAATGATTGCTTCATCATAAGCGTACTTACTCAGTTTGCGGACAGTTGTTTACTGTAGGATAGAGGATCTGTAGGAATCATTCTTTCAGGTTGATCCGCGTACTGTATACTCGTATTATCATAATGAATGAGGCTTGGATAAAAATTAGTGTAAGACGGGTATTGCTAATAAATACGATAACACAGACATGATACATTTAGTTTTTGCTATAGTATACAGTACATTATATTTATACTTTGCAATATGATATTATCATGTGGATGTACTATAGAGTGCTGTGATTAAATTATTGAATAGTACCTAATTCTATTTGCTGTAACACCTTCAAAGAAACAAGATAGCTGCAATTTAGCTCTTTCATCGAACCCCAAAGATTTACAGTTCAGTGTCTGTTGAGATGACTTTCTATAAAACCCTTTTAACATAAGCATTATGCTCATTTTATAATTAAAAATTATATAGGAGATAATAGATCATAAACTGGTCAAGTGCAAGCGCGTTGAGAATGGTAAGAGTAAAAAGAAAATTCGTTTTTTAGTAACTGTGCACAATTAATCTTGTAAGAGCATAGGTACCCTAGTGCTACTTTAGATGATTTTTTATAGGTGTATTGTACATTACTGTATATATTATTGCATCGTGTTATTATTAATTCATTAGCATTAGTCGTTGCAATTCTCAATCCTTTGAAGTTAAGAAAAGGACGTAAATGCATAAATCGTATTGAATTGAATATATATCTAAATAAGCTTTTAAGTTCAGATAACGAACTATTCTTGATCGCGATCAATTCTACTTAGATGCAACAATACTTGTATATACAGTACTGCACAGTACTCGTTCACGTCTCGATAGGATGTAGTAGAGAGGAAAGGCTATCATGTGCAGTTACAATATCTCTAAGTATACTTTAACTAATTCCTTTTTTTAATTGGAACCAATATCATATGAATGCAGTCGATGTATCATCTATTATACCATACTTTGCGTTGAAGCATTTTTGTCGGTATTTGGTAAACTGATATCTGATTATGGAATTGGGTTGTGATTATGATTGATAGAGGTACTAAATAGTATTGACTTTGTGCACCCGGATGGCCAGTGTGTATTTAGAACATGTCGTCAAGAGACAGATAAAGTTATCTTACAATTGGTAAGTGTTACTCGCACTTAGATATATCAAGAACAAAACATAGTGCATATTTCAGTAAAACTATATTTTTTAATATGCTGCTAACTGTATACATGCTGTATAGAACTAGATTACGATGACTGAAAAGTAAATAATACACTTTTTTGTAATTCTTACTGTCTTCACGAAATAAGTGCATAGTTTTTTATTTGATTACATAATGAATTTACTACTTAGGGTACAGCAGATCCTGAAAGGGCATTATTGACCGCAAAATTAGTGTAAGTATCAGAGGAGAAGCAGTTCATATGTACAGAAGTTGTAAATATAATCCGCTCTTTTTTTAAACTCTTACACAAGACACAGAAGTAATTTTTATATCTTACTGTTATATTTCAACCTTATACTACTTTATCTTGGATAGTTTGATCAACCTAGTAAACTGCAATCCTGTTAATAGTAATCGCATTTTGTTATGTAATGTTGTAATAAGTATACAAGGCTGTGCAGTCTACTTTGTGACTCAATACCTATCATTATCAAGCGTTAATACTTTTTATTATCGTCAAATAAAGAGAAAATGACGTTGCTGGAATTGATATAAATATGGGGTGCCCAAAGGAATATTCAACGAAGGTATTTAAGTATTAAATGTTTACGTTAAGGTTGCAATTTCTATTTTACTTACATGCTGTAGTATCTTTCCTATGTGATATTATTCATTAAATATAGTATTATACAGTAGATACTTTCCTTTTGGACAAGGGTAACTAATATTTCATTTAGCTGTTTAGCTATCATTACCGTATGAAAGCGCGGTTAATACAAGAATATTTTCCTTCCTTTAATAATCTGCTAGACTCTCACTATAACTTGATTTGCCTTATTTAGGGTGGTATGGGAGCCGCACTTTTAACCGAGCCTCAGAAAGTGTATAATGTAATAGCATCATTGACTCACTTATACATGTAGTACAGTATTACATCCATATGGGTGTACGTATTATAATAAACACATTTATGTAATTTTTCTAGCAACCGCGATTTTTACAGTCAACTGTTACTTAGCGTTTTGATTTTTGCAGATCATTACTAATTAATTAAGTAACCGTAAGCTATAATGCTGTAGTATCGGATAAGTTGTAATAAATTCTGATAAAAATGATACACAATTTTATCCAAACAGATTTTAAAGAAACTTGTAGATAATTGCTTAAAGCCTGTCACATGTAAGATTCGGATTTTGCCGAAAGTAAGTTATTTGTAGTTACATGTATAAAATTTAAATCTGCAATAAGACACATTGCAATCGGTTGAAGGAGTAAATTTTACCACCTTTGTTAATAATCAATCTGAGAACTTATCGTATTTTATACTTGATCAATACTAACCCAACTTCGGACTCTTATACATTTTAGTTACAAGATACTTTAGATCTTGCTAAAGTAATTGAATCTACTGGGGTAGCTGCGGTGGCAATCCATGGGAGGTAATATAAACACGCTCAGTGCTTATGACGCGGGATAAATATGATAAGTTCAGCTGCAATATTATGAAAAGGACCAAAAAGAAATTGTTTACTATTTTCATAGGCTGAAAGTTGAACGACCTAGGCAACCAGTTCATAAAGATATTATCCGAACTATTTCAAATAGCTTGTCGATTCCTGTTATAGCTAAGTAATTAAGCATTATCTGCCTTCGGTTTAGGAACATGGCTACAATGACACTACTATTAATCAATATTCATAAATTTTCTCTTGCTGTAGTGGCGGATCATTAGAGATAAAATCGTTCAGTGATATAGAAAAATTTAAACAAGAAACAAGTAATAGCGTCATAACTGCTACTTTGTAATAATCATGCTACTATATTGTCGCAACTGAAACATTTACTGTTTGGATAGATTCTTCATCCGTTATGATTGCCAGAGCTGCGCAGTGGGATCCATCAATATTTCGGTATATTCACTAACTCCTTGATTATTTTGACTGCACTCAATAAATACTGCTTTTTGCATTACCTAACTATTTAATCATTAGGAAAGAGGGCAGTTTACCTACTGATGAAATTGTTAAATCCTATATTAAATACGTACGTATTTCAGTTGACTTTGGAAAACAACCTATATTATTAGTATTGTCCATAATACCATCTGTCTAACATCATTTTACACACTTAAAATAGGCAATCGATTACGATAACAGCTGGTCTAACAGTAAATATTGTATTACACATTTTATGCGAGGAAAATCTGAAACTGACAAGGGTATAAAGCTTATGAAAGCATCTTCAATGTCTGATGTCAGGTTTTATAATGTTTCATATTTCTCATCGATAATATCTTGAAATCTGAATGTTTTATTGCCATTAAATCCTATTTTGATAATTATTTTTGTGATTGCATTTATTGACCTCAAGCGCGTTGTGGGGATTAGATAGCTATTATCATTCGGTTATGTCAAAAAGAAAAGAATTTATAAAAGTAATCCTAAAATAAATTTCAAGAGTTTGCATCAGTTTTAAACAATCTAGATGGTCATTAAAATTCTTTAAAATTTTTCTAGTCAATAGATTGTGTTCCAAGTTTAAAAAATTCTAACGCGAAAGCTAGTGGTGGATCTGATGCAGAAATGATACCTTTTCATGATTATTCAAATTATAGCAGGTAGTAAGACGTCGTATTAAAATGCATTGCTTCTAGACATGAAACTTTCTAATGGAGGCATGCTGATTAATTGATTATCAATCCCTTCTTATTATAATGACTCTAATAGAATGATGTTCACATTCATTTTTATTCCCTATTAGAAATGTATCGAACAGCTGTGTTACACCGAAAAGTTTACTTTACCAATGGAGCAAGTAAGGAATTGATTTTAATAGTTGATATGAACTACGTTATACTGTATATTTTATATCACATGTTATAAATACACACAATTGGAAATAATAGTGCTAATTTGCCTTTGTCCGTTTAGGAAAAATGGTTATGATGCTCCAATCTATAGCTCGGTAATCCATACTATAATACATGAGATACATAACAGAGTATTAGCTATATACCTTATTAAATGATAATCTAGTCCTAGCTTATTGACTTAACGGAATATTTATTTTTTTGAAGAATGTTGAACCTCAATCGAAACTATTCCGCAGCCATGTGACAATCAATGGGGAAAAATATTCATCACAAGGACGAGGGTGAGTGAATATTTGTATGCAATTTGTTGTCGTACGTGTAATGTTGACAAATTTTAAGTTATCTACTTATTATTACTATTAATTTGCCTTGTGCGTATTACTTTTGTTTGTAGACAAAAAAATAAAAGATCCGCAGAACAATTAGCTGCTTATACTTGTTTAAAGTCCTTAAAAATAGATACAAAAACGAATTCTGCATAGCGCTCAACGAATATTTGTGAAAGCGAAAGATATGCGTATCAATGATTATATTTTTAAATGCACTGGATCCTAATGACTATCTTATAAGGGCACACTAAGACGAATTCTGTATAGCAGTCAATGAAGACTTGTCGCTGAAATAGATTTGATATATAAAAATTAGTTTATTCTGAAATTCATTGTATCTAATGGCAATTTATTTGTTGAGCTAATATTATTAAAGTGTAATGCATTATTTTATTGGCGATGCAATGAGTGCGTCTGTTACACATAAAAATCAGCAAACCGCCGGCATCTAGATTTATATGGTGACAATGACTAATATTACGAGTCTATCTCTATCAGTGGCTCAACGCTAGTCTCAATATACTGTAGAGGAAGATTTGTCCGCGTTGACAAGGGATTTGAGTACATACAGCATTATTGTTTTGTTTTATTTAAGGTACATCTTGTATTGCAAATCGTCAGCCCCCTCTCTCCTTCTACACTCTACGTACAGTAATAGTCTTATTATTATTCAACTCGTATTCAAGCTGACCGTAAGCAAGCTACAACGCCAAGCTGCATTTGCAACGCTATTTTCACTATTCTGAAAAGACACAATATGGTGTACAAGCGTCCAGCAATATATAGTTGAGTGACTAATATGTATACAATCTATATCGGTAGACTGTAGCCATAAGTGCTGAAGGTATTTCATTACATAATACAGTAATAAATTCAATCATTGTATATAATCATTCTTAATTGCTCCTCCAGTGGCCAATCATTACATAATACAGTAATGAATTCAATCATTCTATATAATCATTCTTAATTGCTCCTCCAGTCGCCAAATGCATGTGGACTTTGTAGTTTGTCCTGTACTGAGTGTACTCTGCCCTGAGGTCATGGATTGACCAGTGTACGATATAGTAATCAGGACAGCCGTAGCCGATCAAAGGCCATTTTATCCTGCAATGTCTATCTATCTAATTGAGCGTTGGAAGCGCAAAATCAATTTATTCGATGGCGCATAAAACAGAAATTGCAGGAACAATTTGTCCATGATGAGCTGTTGCAAAAGGACTTTGTCTCTCGCGTGCATGTTGTCCGCTAGTGTAGACTAATAAATTACGAAAGATCACGATACAGTATCGTATAGTATCAAGACGTGATTGAGTACCAATACAAGCGATACAATTCGGCGCAGTATGGTCCAGTGTGCAGAGTACAGTGTACAGTACTGTGCAGTTAGTATTGTAAAAGAATTCATACTGAACTTGTTCTGACTGCCCATTTTTCTCCAATTTCATACTGTTATATACTAGCGTAGCGTACTGTCCGATACCATCCTCAAGCCTTACTCTACAATGTACAGTACTATACACTGTACGACTTGTAGCTCGGTACCATAAACTCCGTTACGGTATCGCTCTGGTCACCACTTGAAAGATTTGCCAACATCCGCCTCCATCCAATATGGCTTCCGACAATCAATATAAGAGATCAGAAGTAGCCGAACATAGCGACGTCGATTCAGCATGGATTATCATCAAGAATAAAGTTTATGATGTCAGCAAGTTTATCCCAGAGGTAATAAAAATAATACTGTTGTGGAAATTCAGTTTTTTGGATATGGAAGTAGCATAGTAGAGGTAAATTCGTTCAGCAGTCGGCGGATAACTGGACGCTTGCTGTTGTCTCTTTCAATGGATTGGCATTTCTCAAGTTAACTTATGGAGCCATTGATAATCTACTGTACAGTACATTTAGCCTTGTTAAGTATCTCTTAGGTATATAGCTTTAAACAAGCAATTTATCTGCATGAAGAAACAGAGTAGTCGACTTTTGAAATAGACAATCCATTCGAAGTGGGCAACTTGGGCCAATTTTTGATTTTACCATTCTACTTTATGTAACGACTTTGATAAAGACATTTAGAATGTAATAATATCGTAGGCCTATTTAACTTTAATTTTCCGTCGTTTAGCATCCCGGTGGTGAGGAAGTCGTCTTAGAATTTGCAGGTATGATCTGTCAATGTGGCAATGTAAAATAAATTTTTAATTTTCCAATTCATTCTTGCTGAAGTATTTCATCTCAACACGTGTAGAATCTACCCCATAATGTTGTAGTCTGCGTTTCATAGAAAATCAAGGCATGCACTGACAGTAATGCTATACCTACGCCAGTCTAAACCTGTATCAAATCTTTATTTTGGTCCGTATTTCTTACTCCGAATCTGATCTAAAAAAAATTGGACATTAATCACTCACCGGATAGACGATAGCTTAGGGTTCTTCAATGAATTTTACTACCCTATTTCCCCGTATGAAAACCCTAGTTTAAACTTTAAAATTTAAACCATAAATAACATACGCTACCAAGCTCGAAAATGCTACGTCAGCTCTAAGGTGAAGTCTACATTCTGCGAAATAGACGCCTATGCAGACTACTTTACAGCTAGATAGAACTGGACTAGACTAGACTGTTGTATTTTTACTGAGTTATTATTAAAATATGAGGAATTTTCTAAATTGTCCATACTTATGATAGTACTGTACAATTATCAGTTAATACCATCGAAATCATGCGTCGATGGTCTGTACGGCCAGTTTCCCACTCTCAAGAAAGTGTATCTCAATACCAAATAAATTACGGTTTATCCACATGGTCATCATCCGTTGACCTGGAAGCAAAAACCCCGACGACGTGATAGTATTCTCAACTCTGTGTCGCACCCCTTCAATTTTCACGTGTTGTATCTTGATTTAACACGTTGCTGTCGCGTGCATATTAGCTTTTACTTTTCTGAATGCAATTTATAAACATCATGACATGATTATTATGACAAGATAAGATACAAATTTAAAGTATGGAATGACTGTACTACGACAGTAGCAGCTTTACAGCGATGACATCGTGTTTTTTTGGCTGCCATGTACTGTATGATGTAAATCTTCCACTATTACATGCAAAAACGGGATCAAGTCAATTTCACAAACAGCCCTTTTCGCTTGATTAAAGTCAAATTTATAGTACTGTTACTATCTGGAAGAATAATATAGTAGTTCCAGTATAGTTGTTGCAGGCTTTATTATGATTCATTAATGAAATACAGGAAGCAAAAGATGCTGTGCAAGTTATTTACTTTACTTTAATTACAGTAATAATAAAGTGGAACATTGACACAATATATCGTGTATTCATATCGCCAACAGATGTATGCGAATTACATCCTATTGTAATAGCAATTTTGATCGTATCAATGCTTTATTCATTGTAAGTGTTAAAAATTATCCTTGACATTGATATACTTAGGAAAAGATGCTACTGAAGCATTTAATGATGTTGGTCATTCCACCGATGCTCAAGCACTGCTAACACAACATTATATTGGTGATATTGTAGAGGTATGATTTATCTTTAAAGTAAAGGGGTAAATTGAAATTTGTCAACCGCTGACAAAACTGTCTTGAAACGTAAAACTCTCAGTATACGACACTGTAACCATAAGTTTAATGAATTAGCGTGCCTAGATTGAGTGAGTGATTAGCACCGGTCGATACTATACTGCCATTACTCTTGGTGCTAATTTGATATAGCAACAAACTTTATCTCAACTAGTACTCTAGATGCTACTTTATTAAAGTATGTACTGTACATAAAGCGTAGAATGCCCTTGGTGCTAATTTGATATGTAGTAACAAACTTCGACTCAGTGATATTTTGTCCTAGCATGTATACTACAATCTAACTCTAGTAAATGAGATATTAAGATTAATAAAAAGACAGATGACGTAAAGACAAGAAAAGAGATTAAACGACATACGGGAAAGCACTCTGTTCAGATTTTAGTAACTCTTTTATCCTTCTTTTTATTTTCTCCATGGTAATATTTTGCCGAACTGAAGAATACTGAGAAAAAGCTTCTCTTTTCTGGCATCTACTAACTGGACCTCTAATAATTATTAATATTAACGTATGTTTTTTTTTCTTTCTTTCATTTTTGTCTATATTTGTACTATTTGTAAAGAGTGAGGAAGACCAAGCCAAAGCAAAAGTAAGTAACAAATCGCTAAACATGGTCATTATGTTAAAATGTTGTTTAGTACTAGTATTTTTTTATTAACCATACGTGAACCTACAGAATAGCATCCTTTTATAATTGATCGTTAATATTATGCTGTTACAATGGACTTGTATGTAGTAACTGTGGTAGTCGATGCCAGTACTTGATATTCGACGAATCATAAACTGTCCATTAGCGCATCTCTATCATATTTCACAACTTGTCAATGTAGCATTAATAAAACCTTCTAATACTAAATTTATGTACAAATAATCGGCAATAACTGTTACTAAATTAATTTTTTACCACAAATCTTGCTACAGCCTGCTCCCCAACAAAGTGCCACTGCGTCGAGGTACGTAGAGTAAACAAAAGCAAAGCATTTGAAATTTTACCTCTAATCTACAGTAAACATGCCTGAAGAAATTGTTCTCTGATTAGAAGTACTTTTATCAACTGATTAGTTAAATGCTTTCCATACCCATATAAATTTGCGTAGTTTGTAGCGTTTACAGCATTTACAGCGTAATCTATGTTGATCATTGGTAGAAAGCTCAAATTTTGTAATTGCAGTAGAAAACTTAAACACTTCATGATGAAATGCATATTAAGTTACGTTTTCACATTTTACCTGTCAGCGACTCATCATTATATAATTGTTACATGAGCTTATGATTATGTAATAGTAGATGTTAATGATATCTTTTTTTCTTTTGTTACAGTGGAATGAGTTGGGTTCTTCCGGTTGCTATTGTAGTCTTGGGCGTAGCGTTAGCTTATAGGTTTTTTTCGCAGCAATCCTAGGTATTAGCCTTAGGGTGAAACAGCTGATACAGAATGTTTGTGTGTCATTAGTAATACAATATGGTATACTACAAAGAAATTCCGTTGCCGATAGCTATTTGTAATAATCGCTTAATTATATTACTGTTGGAGGTATGGTATCTTCGTACGTTTAAGAGAGTTATACACAAATTGTTGTGTTATCGGAATCTTCGTCTGACTCTGAAATCTATGTACTTTTTAATCCTTTAGTAAATATAAAACTTTATTTAACTATGTTTATGCAAAGGAACATTTAACATTTAGCCATTGCAACATACTACTGGAATGTACACCGCCTACTTATTGAAATTGAAATTTTACCAATGTTAGAACTATTATTATGCTAGAACTTGTTATTTCTCCATTTCTTCTAAATAAAGGTTTGTAAATTTTTAAAATTAAATCATTGATATGAAATTTGCTCTTTTCTGTCTCAACATGTAAACTAGCATGTGTAACATTTAAAATTATTTGCTGCTCTGCTAGTATAGTTCCATATATACGTACAATGAGTATAGTATACTAGAGATTGTTGACAACAGTCAACAGCATGCTCACAGTTGTAATTAATAATTAATTGACAAATGATCATAGTAGGAACCCATTCCATACCCATGATGTCTAATTAAATAAAGGATACTTCTGCTTGTGTAGTTATTGTAAAATGGTAGATTCAATATTTATTAACTTATTGAGCGCGTATTCATTCATTAATTAAATTATATCGATACACGCAGTTTCTGTAGTAATTACAGTTTCAACTGTGTTTAGTGATGTACCTTAAATATTTCCATAGACTATTATTACGTTATACGAATACATGGTAAGGAATTATGTAGGATACTATTTACTTGGTTTTGAATCCTAACTACAGACGAAATTAGCTCAGAAGGCTATTATTGCATAATTTAACTCGCATTTTTGGCTAAGACAAGCACAATAAGCTTCAAAATAGGCCAATTTCCTGTATTTACTTTATTTATTACAACTTATAGAAGAAACAGTCCAACAAAATTAACAATGATACTTTATTTTCCTCCTATTAACATGTTAAAATCCGCACATTTAGTGAGCTCTTTCTACATTCATAAATCAACTTCAGAGGGGCGTTTAATATGACGCAGAAATCGATTGAGGTAATATAGTGACATAAAAGTATAAATAACAAGATAAGCAATAGATGTAAAAAATGCAACTAAATACACCAAACGACGACAATAACGATTAGATAGACCTCGATCTTCGAAATCAGGTAAATACACGGAAAATACATAGGAGCTACCACATATGGACCAAATAAATATTAAGGCAAAAAAACACCGTAAGGAATGGCGTCGAAAAGTACTACTTTTGCTCTGCGTGCATTGTATTGTTTGCAATATGGATAGCAAACACAGACCTAATAAATAGATTGGTATATAAATACTGATAGGGCAGTCATTGGCAACCAAAGTGAAGGTTCCTAGAAAAAAAATTAATACTCCGTTTATATCAATTTATCCTTTAATTAACTTATATACTGTAATTTAGGATAGAAAGATTATAAAAATTTGTACGATCCTAAAACATTGGAGAACCGTAACTTAACCGATAATTTATTTCTTTAAATTATAGATTTTATGGTAGCCTTACCAATAATTCCTAAACCAATATAGAACATAAGTAATAATACGATCCCTGAAACAACTAAATAATATAAGGATAAGGTAGATAATTAATCAGACAAAGTTGTTAAATCTTAATAAGGCTAATATCGATAAATGATTTTAAAATTTACATTAATAGATAATAGTAACTGAGTTTTTGGACAAGTACAGGTATCTAATTAACTGCACTATTACAAGGCTCGAAAAACTTGCCGGTGATGGATGATTTATTTCATATATAATAACCGTACAATAAAATAGTCATAAGATAGGAGAATGTTACTGTATTGTAGGCGAAATAACTAAAGCAAATTATATCAAACCCTATACCTTATTTTACCAACGATTTGCAGGAATACTTACTTATGTATCATTCATCAAAATAAAAATTAAATTTACAGTACAGTAATAATATACTACAAATCCATGTAAGATCTATACAATATACCACACCATGCAATGCCTTGCAATATACAGTCTATCGTGCCATGAATTGTTTTACGCCGATCAATTAATTTATTTAACTTACTAATTGTATCTTTACAACTAAAATAATTTTCCGATGCTGGTGGTTCATAATTATCTTCCAAGAATTCTATAGAATACTGATTATTTAACTGTTGACTCGCTCGGCGATAATAGCGCAAATAATCAACACCATTCGTTGGCTTTAAATATTGATTAGCTGAAATGTGAAGAGGTTTTGGTTTTTTCTTTTCAAATTTTGATTTCTTAATACCTATGATCAAAAAAGTGAATAAATAGTTTTAAATTGCGGATGATTTATATGTTATAGTAGTATATACAGTATATAATATTACTATTGCGTAAATCCAATATGCTATACCTCATGTTCAAATATTTTAACGAATTTAGCTACCTGTAGTTGTAGTTGAATTTTCATGGAATGATCTTTGAAGTTTTGGCAGTGTAAGACGATTAAGGTGATTAGGTGATACTGTAAGATTACAGACTGTACTTGAGCTAGAGTCACGAGTAACGGTTTGATATCCTGGTTTATGCGATTGATCATTTAGCCTGTTTACACTAAAGCAAATTTAATTCTCGCTGTCAGCAGTGATTCGAAATATTGCAAAATTTTATTATATGCACGTATAAGTAAAATAGTTATATGATACAGGGCACTAATATCCAGTGAATACTATATTCCTGATTAAATATCAGTTGAATTACTTCGGTAATATTTAGGTACTGTATGTTATGTTAGTCCAGTCATGTTCTATACTATAATCGAATCTTAAAACCACTAATACGTGTAGCTAAGTCAAGGTATAATCAAGCAATAAATAATTATCCAAGTAAAATATTCTATTATCGACGACTTCACCTCATCCGGACATAGTAGCTAAAAGAACTAATCATCTGTGTATGAAGGTAATTTGGTAACTGCACCAAGTATTGTGCCAATATACGTCTTCAAATGTATTTTATGCGTAATATCCACGCATACTACTTTCCTTACTACAAATTTAACCAATCGCTTTAGATCCTGTAAAATTGGCTATACTACTTTAGATCGTACGAGATTTATCTCGTCATAGGGATCCACCCTGATAATATTTCTATGTCATTATCCCATTTTGTAAATAGACTTGTTTTTATACTAATTTTACGGTATTTTACAATATGATTTGCTAATAGCTAAACCTAACATGGATCAATAAATCGATAGTATTAGGGATTGTACATCAACTAACAAATATATTAAAGGTATTTTTGCGTATTAAGCTAACCTCAAGTATGCAATTATAATAATAATAAATATGTAATGAACTGTTTGGACAAAGACGTGACGTGACGACTGATGTTTCATTTTGTAAAATATAGCATAAATTAGAGTATAGTTGTGTTTATTTCTATCATCAAAAAAAGGATAGATGGAATACGGAAAAGCTATGATAGGGTACATTTATAACTATGAAACTTAATATCATGAACTGTAAAATGAATCTTGTTCCGAAGGTGTGCTTTCTCATAAATTTCATTAAATGGTCATGTCGAACTACTCATTGTGCCATTATTTCTTGCAAAAATTACAGTTATAAATTACTATTATAATCGTTTGAAACTTTTAATGTCCTCAGCTAAAAATGTTAATTTTTTAAACGAAAAATTCACAGTGAATGGTCGCTTCATAAACTATTAAAGATCTTTCGTTCACTTTTACTTTATGACGATTAGATATTTATTTATAAGATCGAGCTTAAAATTTTCACTAAAAAGGTGATGAATTACTTGTATTAACGAAAGAAATTATTTAATATTTGCGATATTTAGATCAACTTTTAGTCGCAAAATGTTAACGGTATAACATTGATAAAAGATTACAAACCTGGATAATCGGGGGTCGACTCCTTCAGTAGACATGGAAGCAACGACTAATCTCTAAAAATAACGATGCA